AAAGCACGGCCGAAGGCCGCCAGTGCGGAAAGAAGTTTGACGCGATTAAATTATGAACACCCCGGTGTTGGACCGACCAGGGTTATTTTTTTGAAGCGCGGCCGAAGCCGCCAGTGCAGAAAGAAGTTTGACGCGATTGAATTATGAACACCCCGGTGTTGGACCGACCAGGGTTATTTTTGTGAAGCGCGGCCGAAGGCCGCCAGTGCGGAAAGAAGTTTGACGCGATTAAATTATGAACACCCCGGTGTTGGACCGACCAGGGTTGTATTTTGAAGCGCGGCCAAAGGCCGCCAGTGCAAAAATGAGTTTGACGCGATTAAATTATGAACACCCCGGTGTTGGACCGACCAGAGTTATTTTTTTGAAGCGCGGCCGAAGGCCGCCAGTGGGGAAAGAAGTTTGACGCGATTGAATTATGAACACCCCGGTGTTGGACCGACCAGGGTTATTTTTTTGAAGCGCGGCCGAAGGCCGCCAGTGCAGAAAGAAGTTTGACGCGATTGAATTATGAACACCCCGGTTTTGGACCGACCAAGGTTATTTTTTTGAAGCGCGGCCGAAGGCCGCCAGTGCAAATAAGAAATCTTAACAAAAAAAAAGTAATGTTAAAGAGAATATATCACTCTCTATAAACTTCAATTTTTATTAAGAATAATTATAATAACAGTGAAGATTTTGAAAATTTGATATATGAATACATATGGCGTAAAAATATAGAAAATCAGCATCATGATCCATTTGTGAAATTATCAGATGCAATAAAACATACGTTTAAGCCATAAAACCTTTTTCTTTTATTAAAATGGAAAATTAAGTTCATAATATTTTGTAGAGGATGATTGGGTTTTTTATTTATTTTGATTGCTTTCATCCGTTTGGATATGGCAACACTTATTATCTGACAACATGGAACCCATTTGTTATTCTTCATATTACGAAAATTGTATAAAAATTTAATGCTTATTTAAAGCAAATACTTAAATATTTAATATAAAACCAATATGTAGAAACATTGTAGTGAAGTGTTAGTGTGTAATAAGTGCATAATATAAAAGAAAAGATAACCATAAATCGAGAAATTGTAAAATGAAATTTGTGAAATTTTCAACTTAAAATGCAAATATCTGGAAAACTAAAACTGGCGGCAATAATTATATATATTCGAGATCTGGAGAATCTCCTCTATCCAACCATACCCCTCTTAACCCTGAAATCCTGGGATGCTAAATTTAAGTTTTCCCCTTATTAAAGTGACTTAAGCTTGTTAGCTCTCAATTATTAAATGGTTTTAATAATTTTCAATTCAAAATTAATACTATGATGCATCACATTACAAAACATTTTACCAAATACACTTAAATTTCGCACTTTCTTTAATTTTCATTGTTTTACATTTTTTCCTAGCGATATTGAACGGCGTCAAGTATCTCCGTTCACATATATATTTGACAGAATTTCAATCTGGCCGT